AATTTCCTCTGGATTCACTTATGCTTTGCTCTCATCATTGTATCTGGCTGACACACTGTTTGGCTAAAGTATGTCTCCCAGGCAGCCCTCCAGCTGAGGGACAGTTGAGATATTTATTGAGGCACAACATATGTATGTAGAAGAAATTAGCCACTAAAGGACTTTGGACACTCACAGAAACAAGGGTAACTAGCCATTGGCTACAATCTAAAACCTTAAAAAAGCTCCCTCTGGAATTATGCATATCCATTCTGGACACAAAATCATCAATTTTCCCTGCAATAGTTGAAAAGCTATACCATGATGTTTTTTCAGATCTTCTAGGATTAGTTAGGACATCCCAACTATGCTGTCCTAGCCATGCTGCCAAACCCACCTGACACTGAAGGACTATTTCTTCTCATGTCCAGCTGTTCAGTCAGGTACAGCTTTACCAAGCTTTCAACTGTCCCACTAGATTTAAGTTTCTACAGTGCCCAACATCCCAAAACACTTGAAATCTGGAGGGGGAAAAATGGATTAGCTGTTCTCAGCTGGAGGACTACTATAGGAAAAAAAATCTTATTTTAAGCAGTGTGCTAGATCAACTACAAGGAGAAGAACATTAAAGTTTAGCTTAGAAATGGCCCAAAATAATGAGAAGTATCCTAGAATTTCCTCCATGAATTGCCTTTTATTCCACTGAGTGAATCTAGCTTATTGATTTCAGATTTTACGGAAATAGATCAGGTAGGGAAGCAGCAGTATATGTGCTTACTTGTCTATACACTCTATCATGAACTGAAGTACATTGAGCTCTCTGGGGAAGAGGAAGTGTCTCTTTGGTCCTCAAAAATGGATTTCTAATATTGTAAAATTATACTAGTAATATGACTTGTAATGACAGAAACATGTAGAAACGTTAGAGTCTGTAATTTTTTTAATATTTTGACACAATATACCCCAAATTAGGAGATGGATTCAGATTGGTGCTATGGTTATCACTACTTCTAAGGAGTTCTTTGTAATGGTATTTGTGAAACTATAGACTATAGCTCTTAAAGATAGAAAAGACGACATAGAATATTTCATATTATCTTCTCTGTAGTACAACCATATAATTTCACCCAACTGTGTCTCCATTGTTTGCTGAAGCATACCATCCACTCTCAGTTTGCAGACTTCAAGAAATGGTAAGCTCACTGTTCCTCTTCAGAATTTGTTCCAGTGGATGATAATTTCTTTGTTAACCACTGAGGAGTGTCACAGTAATCTAGGTGGCAACCAAAAAATACTGGCAATAACACTACCTGTTTAAACGATGATATTTGAGACAATTGATATCATTCTCACCAGGTCTGTTCATCATAAAAGCAACAAGGCTTTAAGATTTTATTCTTTTTTTGAGCAACCGCCACTTTTGTGAACTTTTTGCATTTGTTTCTCATCATTTGTATTTCTAGAAGCTTATAAAATTTGGAGGCAAATCCATGTTCTGGTTTCCGTCTCCATAGGCCGCAATGCTTTCAAACAATGACTGATACTTTCTTCTGTAGCTTTCTGTGATTTCCATGCAGCTCTTTTTCGGGATAGAATGGAAGCCTTCTTCTCACAAGGAAATTATTCCCATACGGACTCATAGCAGAAAAGGCATGAGAACTCCTGCATGTGCACAAAAAAGGAACACATTTCCAGATAAAATAATAGTCTGCATTTTTGCAGACCTTTCCATTTTCAAAGCTTTGGACATGCATTCATCATCAGATATTAAATATTATAAAAGTTATTTTACCAAGGTTCTGCTTGATCATCAGATTTAGCTACTGCAGTTCAAGGGGTGATAAAAATTGTTACGTATGACTGACAGACAGACCCTGCAGTGCACCCAACTTTGACAAGTACATTGCCAGCAGCATTCTTGGAGATCTTACTCCCTGGAAAAGGGTTAGGATATGGAAAGAGTGTGTCGCACAAAGGCTGACTGCTACCATATATTAAAACCAGGTGGTCTTAATGGGTGGGCTACAACGCTCTTATCTGCCCTCCCTCTGTAAATCTGTACTTACTTTGAAGCTTTACCCGTACAAGTTCTGAGTCCTTTATTAGAAGCTGAGGCTCAGCAGCACAGAGGATTAACCTTATTGTCTCACTCATGGCCAGGCCTGTCTGAAGGTCCTTTTTCTTCTGTCAGAGGTGGTTATTAACATAGAAGCCCCGTGGAGGATAATTCCCAGAATACATCCATACATGGCAATGGACCACGGTGCAGTGACTCCTGAGAAAACCTGACAGCTGAGATACTCCTGCAGCACTATGCAGAGAAGCTGCTAAGGTCCCAAAAGAGGCTCAGCTATGTTTTTATGGCCCTGCATTCAACCAGTCAGCCCTAGCTCTAGTACGGAGTCACCTTGATACAGCTCTACCAATTCAATGTCCATATCACCCTTACTACAGCAACTCCATAACAGTGACCCATGGCCAGGAACTGTCCACTGCAGTGGACTGTTACAGCAGTCAACACTTCAGAAATTAATGTACAATAAAGCTGTAAAGAAACCAAGAATGTACTTTCAAGTTTTCCATTTAGTGTCTGTTACACTGACTGAGTGGGAAGTCTAAGTTTGATTGGTTTGATCAAACTAAGCAATTCAAGCATCTTCTCCCTAATTTTAGGCCAAAGAGAATTGCAGCAATGCAGAAGCAACTGATAAATCAAAAGCAGAAAAATAGAAATTAAAGCTCAGTTCTGGCCTTTCATCTTTATTACCCTTCTATATGTGCACATGGTAGGTGTTCAATTCTTTCCAAGTCCGTATGATATTCCCTTGTGCTTCAGAAGCAGTAGGGCTGTAGTTGTCTGTAAAAAGGCAACTTAACAGTTTCATGTGACTGAGAGTTAAATGTGTTATTTGTTACCAGCTGGTTCACGGATAGCTTGAGCTTTAAGTGATCAAACTGATTTTAAACCACTCGCGCATGAGGTGAATTCGCGTATAGAGAAAATTCTGTTGCAATATTTTATTTCGGAATTATGCCATAAGACTTTTTTTCTAAGACAATATTAAAACCAGAGCCTATAATACAGCAAATGCAGATTGCATTTTTTGGAAAGCTGATACCAAACGTAACAGTAAATGAACCCTTCTCAAAGGTTAAAGTTGCTTTCATATAAAACATTTTCTGCCAGGAAATGGAAGTGGAATGTTGAACTAAGCATTTAACTTGAAAGAACTCATAGCACAGACTCCAATGGTTGCATTATCCTTTAAAAGAAAAAAAAAAACAAAATGTTTTTATGAGTATATATAGCTCTAGTTTCATAAAAAGAGTATTATGGTAATGAGGTAAAATGAATCCCAGTATTTTGGGTGCTCCTTTTAATCTTCTAACAGCTCCTTCCCTGTCCATTAACCATTCTAAGGTGAGCTTTCACAGTATGGTTAAATTCATTTAACAGTTCTGCTCCCTTCACTTCTCTCTGCATCCTTTTTGCCTTGACATACAGGCCTATTCCTTTCCTTCTACTTTCTCTGATTTTCACATGGCTCTTTGGTAAACCCAATTGGATTACTAAACTAAGAGAAAACTATTCATGTTTTTATTTCACTGAATTGGTTTTCTACCAGCTGGCAAGGTGAGCCATCTCTATGGGTGATACAGAAATTAGAGCTGGTGCAGAACAATGGTTGAGAACAGCACTCCTAGATTTCCTTGGGAGACCTCAAACCCTTAAAGCACCCATTCTAAATAATGGGATTGCCTCTTAAAAAATACACTTACTGTTTGAGATGGTCGACCTGTTGCAATAGATTCTGCAAAAAACTAATGAATGAAAGTAGTCCTACCAAACAGATTTACCACTCAGAGAGACAACAAGGTTAATGGCAAATATGTACCATACAGTGGTTGCCCATTCTCAGGAGTAGACATTCCTGCATGAGGGCAATGACCTCATGACATATCTTGGTAGAAAGCAATCAGAGAGTACCTCTTTTCTGGGTACAATCTTCTGCTTCAGGAGGGGGAATAAAAAAATGCCAACTTTAAACACTATCCTTGTACCTTGATTTTGAATCTATGATCATTCAGGGAGGGAGAAAGCAATTCAAATGAACTTGACATGTTGAGCTACTGCTGATTTGCCAGATTCCAGTGTCCTCAAGTGTGACACAGCATTATTATTCAGTGTCCTGTATTTAAAATCAGAAGTGATTTAAGCTGGCTCTCTGCCATACCACTTGATGACGTGTTGACATCATGTAAATAATGCATAGATCTGTGACCATACTACTTTCATGCTGAGAGAAACAGACAACGCCTGCTATTATTATTAGCCACATCTTAGATATCTTGGAAACGTGCAAAAGTAACATCAAAATTACTTCAAACATGTTGTAGATTCCAGCTCCAAACTTTTTCATTAAAACTCAAAAGGAACCTGTGCATCCACTGCAGTTAAAAAGAGATTGCTGATTTACATCTCACATCCTTCAAAAGTCACCCTTCTAAGAGTCTTTATAAATAATTAGTACAAGAATTTCCACTGGCAAGACTTTTCTCTGCACAGTGTGGAGTGAAAAAGTTGCCATTTTAGAAGAAAGCAAAATCCAGTTCTAGACTGCAAAATTCTAAATAATTAATATCAGACACTGCTCCCTACCAACAGTAGCCAGTCTGCTTCTACTCTTCTGATCATGTCAAAATGTAAACGTACCAATGCCACCAGGAAGTGATCATCAAACCAAAGTGAAATTGTGGTTTTCACTGGGGAACATTGTAAAACAAAAATAGGACACCTAATATGCTACCTAGGTCTTACATGACAGTCTTGTATCATCTAAGTGTCATACAACCTCAGTCATACTGAGAGCAGACAGCAATATATACTGCTTTTCACAGGACATTTAAAAAGACTGAAAGTATCTTATATCACTGGTACCCAACCATCATTACATACACACTCCCTTCCAACCCTCTGACTGCCAAGTACAGAAAGATGTTGATTATATTTTTACCTTTCCATGGTGCACAACAATAGAAAACTTGTTCTTCTTCATTTCACTGAGCCTACGCTGTCAGAGCGGGACTGTGATATGCATTCTTCCTCTGAAGACACATAGGAGTAACTGTTAAATCATGAGAGACAACAGAATAGAACAAACAATGAAACATAGAAATCAAGTCTTTATAGTTTAGAAGTGTGTGTTGTTGAAGAGAACTCACCTTAATCCTCACTCTGTGGCCAGTATTAGGGAATTGCACCTATATATATGTAGTTCCCTCTTGACTTTAGAGTTGCAAAGTCTGAAATAAAAGAATATCTGGTTCAAAACCACTGAACTGTGCAACTAGATCATAATTTCTCAGGAGAAAATAGATACGCAGATCAAAATTCCTCACCCAAATAAATTCCTTTAGAAACTTTGTAAAACAGCAAACATAAAAAGGAAAGGGAGTTCTTTTTTCTTTTTTTTTTCCTTTTTTTCCAGCTTCTATGAGACAGTCAGAGCACACAGAAAATTGATTTATTTCTGCTCAAGGATGAATACATTGGATGATATTCTGTACTTGTCCACATTGCTCAAAAGGATCAGCATTTTGAGAGTCCCAAACCAAGACCAATTTTCTGTTTTCTCCATTAAGAAGACCAGGAATCTTGTGGTCTCTTTTCAAAGGAATGTCTTTGTCCAGAATCTTGCCTCAGAGATTTATTTTCACTATGTTATTTAGAACAGAACACTGGAATGACTTCCTAATTTCTTTAGCAAATCTGTTCTTAATCTACTTTATTCCAAGCATTTTATAGACAGTTTCTTACATGATGTTCTGAAGTTCTGTAATTACACACACGCTGGTCAAACTTTCTCTTGACCAGAAAAGACTTGCAGTAATTCTAGTAAATCGAAAGGAAAAGTTTGGGGAATAGAGTAGGTTGGTTGAGAAGATAACTTACTGCTTTAGATGTGAGTTCTGTTCTAACAGTTGCTATGGGTAATGTAGTTGCCCCTCACAGAGAAGTGACAAAGCCTGTCTTGTAGAGGTTTTCTACAGGTTTTTTTTTTTTTTTTTGCCTGGGGTTTGGATTTCACAAGGCTGACTAGATTGCCCTTGTCTAGGAAACGCGGGGGGGTGAAGCCAGATGGTGTCTGTGTGCAAACTGCAAAGAGTGAAAACTGGGGAAGGATAGTGGCTGAAAAACAGGGAATAAAACCCACTGAATTAGATGAGTGGGTAAAGTACAAAAAGTTAACAAGAAGTCATGAAGTGGCATGACAAAGGTAATGAAGGTTGCTTTTCACAGGCAAAGATGTGCGTATTTTGAGGGGAATGTCAAATGCATTTGGATCTTTTTTCTAGAGTCCATTTAAAGCTTCCTTCAGCAAGGTTTACTCTCTTCCTCCTCAATGGAAGTCTTATAAGAATTCTATTAGCTACAGAAAATTCCTCTAAATTCTTGTTGCTATATATATATACCTGTATACGCAAGAATAAAGAAATTATTTCAAACAAGTCCAGTACTAGATGAATAGCAAGTAAAAATAGCACAACTTGCACATTCTTACTAAGAGCTAGCTCAGCAATCAGCAGCACTGCCTGAACAGTCAACTATAAAAGTTCCCATTTTGTGGTAACCTGATTTGACTGTTTCCTCTACCAAAATGTCCTATTTCAGTGACTTAAAATGTACAGGTAAGTCCCATATTTTGTGCAGCTGAAATTGCACATATACACTGAAAATCTGGGTAAATGTTAGCTACTGAGAGCAGTAATGAGTCTCTTCAGAGGAAACGGTGCACTCTTCCTGTCCTCATGGTGGAGGAGGAAGGAACAAGGAAAATAGAAACTCTACCACATTCAAAGTAAAGATCTTTCAATGGTAAGACTTTCTCGCATTTTATCTGATGTCCATATTTACAAACTTGAGCACATGTGGTTTCACAGAAATGTTCAAAAGGGAAGATAGAGGTGATAAGCAGCACATGCATGACCTGCTTCCTGTGTTTGTTGAGAAGAATGTGCTGGGTGCCAGGCCAGGCTGGTAGGGCAGCAGTGAGAGCTGTGGCACACAGTTGGTGACACTATCAGAGCTGTGGCAAGAAGCTGGGCGTAAGGGTACAAAATGCACACATGTACATGAGCCCAATCAGAGTCCAGTGGCAGTTAATGTCCTTGCTTCTAAGGTGTGTCATTTTCAGCATTTTTTTAATACACATTCATGTTTATTACCCTATCCTTACAGTATTTTGAACATTTTCTGTGATAAAGAGTGTTAGATTTTTTAAATTTTCTACTGTCAACATTTTAGTTTTCACATCTAAAAAGCATGCACAGTTCCACACAGAGGTGTAATCTCTGCTTGATTGTTTACGATTCCAGTGCTATACCCTTACTTATCTGTTCTCTTTGGCTAATGTGGCTTGATGATTTCACTCTGTGTTTTCCCTTTTCAGTTGTATACATCAGATAGAAGATATTCATACTTCCCTTCCATCATGTGACACATTTTCATAATGCAGAGTGATAATGTGGCAGACTTATTTTTGCAAAGAATCAGCCTTGATCTACTCTCTACCACATCTTAGAAACTAGCACTAATTTTTACAGTACAAATTAGGGAATTCAAGGTATGGATGGTTTGAAAACACTAAATTTTATGTGTTAAATTTCCTGAAAAATTCAGTACTCAATCTGAAAATTCATTTGTTATTTAAGGCTAATTCCATTTCTGAAACAGCCTCTTTAAAATTGTATCTGCTTCATCTCTGTGCTAGCCTGGTCTCTCTGATATGACTGATGCTTTGGAAGGCATTTCCGTGAAAGGACACTATGTTTGCAGCAGTGTACTTAAAAGCTAATGATCATCCATCTTCTCTTTTACAGCATGTGTTGGGATAAACAATGGGGAAATCAGAGGCTTATGGAGGCTTCATGGAAAAGAGGTGAACCAGAGTTTCACTGAAAACTTGTTGAGGTTGCTAGGCTGCAATTTTAAAGGTGTTCGGTGTTGCAGATAAATGCATACTTAGCTTTCTGTAAAGAGCTTAGGTACCTTAACTCCACTTACTTCAGCTCAAGGTGACTGCTTTCAGACTCCTCAAAATTGCAATAGGCAACTACTTGAATGTTAACATACCCTTAAAAGTCTGAGCCCCAGGCCTTGATAACCAGTAGTCTTAGCCTGCTAGCTCAATTCAGTCTTCAACTCTCTACTGTATGAGTGTTGCCTGCCTACCCACTAGAAGTAGGTCATTACCACCGATCTGAACAGTAACTCGGAAGTAATAAATGGGAAATATCTCTCTTGCCCTATATTTGTTGTTGTTGTGACATAGAGGTAAAAAGCTAACCATACCTTTATAACCTTATTACCCTAGCCCTCCAGTCTTACGTCTAATTAAGCATGCGAAAAATAAATATCTTACTGACAGTCTTTCCTCAGGCTTGGTATGAGTGATCTGACAACATCCAGAATACTCCTATGAAAAAAGATGTTGTGAAACAATTTTTCATTCAAAGATTTCTTTTAATTGTAAATACATATTTTTTAGTTTAAAAAAAATAACAACATCTGAGCTAGGATCAATGTGTCTGAAACTACAGCAAAACCTACACATTCTGGTTACAATAAATAAAACTTAAAAATATTTGCTAGCAATATTTTTTTAAAAGGTAGAAGAATTTGTGCTTTTAAAATTATATCAGTGAAAGATCTAGCAAGTAAAAATGTTTTTCTTTTCTATTCCAACTGAATCATACATTATTTGGGGTAGAAATTTGGCAGGCAACTCTGTTGTATTATCTCTACATTGTGGCTGGACTGATTTCTTTATCCTTTTCTGATAGATGGATGTCTAGCTGAGCACTGAATATCTTCAGTGGTGCTGATTCCAAAGCTTCATTTGGCAGCTGGTTTCCTTGGCTATGAGTTCTTATGTTTATAAACTTTCCCCTGATATATAATTCTAATTTTTCCCTCACAATGCTTCAAGCTGCTTCTTTCTTGTTTGCTTCCTTGCTTGCATTCTTAAGTAATGAGAATAATCCAATATTTTCTCTTTTTCTTTTACTTCTCATTGCAGAAAATAAGGGGCCACTTTAAACTTCCTGGAATTAACACAATTGAAGTAATCTCAATTCAGCATCATACCACGGGCCTTATTTTGCAAGCCTACCATCACTTTTCTTACAGAGCTCAAGATTTAGACAACTTTTTAAAAATAAATATCTAAAACCAATTACAGTACTTCAGGACATGACCATAAATGACCATAAAAAAGACTAAAGTTTTCGCTTCTCATTATGTATATTTCCAAGGATTATGTTGTATAAATTGTTACACTAGCTGATTATGTGGACCTTTCATCATGCTAGAAAATGTAAGAGTTTGCAGAGCTGGAAAATATCATTGCTGCGAAGAGAATTGCATTGATTTGTGAGACAACAGTTGGAGAGACTAATTCTAATCAACCAAAAAATTAAATAGTAGATCAGCATCAGTGTTAATCCCACTGAATTGGGAGGCTGGTGTCTCTGTAACCACTACAGTAAAGTCAAGGAAGGAGAGTTTTATTTTAGAGAGAGTAAAGACTAAGTAAGAAAAGGACAGCAGGCTGTGAATTACCACTTTTGAAAAGGAGATACTTTTAGGAGCTGATGGGGGGCCCAAAACTGGCTTAAATGTTTTGGGAAGTTTTTCTGCATTAGAAAACTACAGCAGATTGTTAGCCAAGCAGCTCCAAGCTGCATCACTCAGTAACAGTTCGTGGCTGAGGACCCTGGGATAAAGGAGGCTGAACTGCATCCTGAATGCAGAGAAAAGTGAAGTGATCTAAGTCCTATCTTTTCTCCAAACAATTCCCACCTGCTAACAGTTTCTTCCACAATATGTGCAGAGTTTTGTACATTCCCTCCCAAGGTGCCTAGTCACGGTCCTTGGCGCAGTATAGTACATCTTTTCTGGATAAATTCCATTAGGTGCATTAGAACACAGAAGCCTTTTGGTAGACCTAGCTGTGGGTTGGATTTTCACAAAATCATCATTAAATCAAAAGTAGTAAGTATCTGATAGCTTTTGGCAATTCCTCTAAACACCTGTTTATCCTGTCTTTGAACAACTCACTGCAAGAGACTGGTCATTGCGGCTTCATGGGTCAGACATGAACATGAACACACAAGGAAACATGGATCAGGATAGTATGACTCTGGGAGTCTTTTCTATTAACAGGATGAGCACTTAGTTCCGACTGTGTTTGCTCAAGCTTTCGGACACATCACATTCTCATATGACTACTGGGAGCTGTACCAGAGTCTGTTCCATGCAAACATTAATCTAATTTGCCGAGGCATTCTCACACTACTAACCTGGCACGCATCTTTCTAGTTACCATGTAATCATTTACATTTTGTCAGTAGTTACACGCTACCAAATGTGCCAAGACCATTCAAATGTTTTTGACCATTTCTCTAGTTCAGTTCCAACCACGTAAACTAACTCAGCCAAATCCAATTATAAAAGAACTGCTTTATCTGGCCATTCATCCCTTGTAATGACAATTAAATAAGTTGTTTTAGAGTAGGAGTGTTATGGCCACTAAGCAGAAAACTCACAACTACCTCAGAGCTGACCTTGTTTGCCTTTTAGCCACTATGCCATTTCCTCTGAGCTGTGAGCCCTTTAACTCCTGCATATGCATGTGGATCAGTGTGTTCAAGGAACACTTAGTTCTTCTTTTCATTGTAGGACTGTCACTTTTAGAACATGAGAAATGTGGTTCCTTCTTTAAATAAAGGAAGTCTGAGTAATTCTGTGAAGCCACAAAGACCAAACTCTGTATACGCACTTATTCCAACACCTTACATCATTTCAGGTTTTGAAGTTCTGATGTCCAAAATAACATTACTAAAATGACAGCAATTTTAAGCTGTCAAGTCCATCTAGGAGAATTGCCTTCCTGACACTGAGGACAAAATTTCCCAAATCAGAATACTGCACTTGCAAGTTTTCTTGAGAAAACAACAATTTGTCGTGCCTCCATCTGTCTACTCAATAATTTGCTGCTAAGCATTACTACAAACCACTTGGCAACATTGCTTCCATGTTGAAGAGCCACTAGATACCATCTGACATTGAGAAAAGTTTGGATCTACTGGGATACCTATTTTTGCATTTAGGTTTGCACCTCCCAGTGGATCATAACTGTAGGAAGTGCTTTTTGAGGTTCAGGAAAACAGGACCTTGCCACCTTTAGACCAAGCCAGTTAAATATGGTGACACCTCAGGCATGAGCAGCTTTTTGGATATGCTTTGAGGATGACAGTATGTATGGTTTTAGGTGGGTGAAAGAAAAAGAATTAAGCCAACTAATTAATTTCCTGAATGCTGCCTAGTACAGCTCAAGAGAATCAAATTCTAATTTGAATGAAGTGTCAGGGAGACTAGAAGCCTTGTTAATACAAATACCTACATAAAGTCATTAATGTAAATGAAAAAAATTGCCGACAACAATACTTTCAATTCACAAAGAACTTCATAGATGTGATTTTAAGAGAACCTAATTCTGGCCATTTAAGTTTATGGTAAAATTTTCACTGACAACTGCAGAAGCAGGCTGAGATTTCACAGAAACTTCTTTTAAAGAATTTTTAAACTTTCACCTCACTGCTTTAAAGCATTTTGCAAGCACATCCACCTCAGAGGTTTTATATATCTGGTAAAGATAAAACATATGACAAAGTAATAACTTGTTCTAAGCCACAGAAGAAATCTGTGTCTGAGCTAAAAATTGGACTCAGAACTGATATCCTATTCTTCTCTGTGGCATGGGAAAATCTTCTCACTGAGTTTTCAAGACCACAGGACAGAAATGTTACTATCTATGAGTTAAAGTTGTTTGATTTGTTTATGAAGTGACCATGGTGGTACTTGTAGCTCTACAGTTTTCCTTATTACAAAATGGAAGATAATTCTTATTTTAAAGTGTCCATTCCAGGTTAGTTAGGCTGAATTTTAAGTGTTTAATGCACTTTAAGTATAGATCATAGAAACTGTAAAAAAACCTAACTTGTTTAATCAAATCCTTTCAGCTGTAATGTTGAAATATTTAAGGAAAAACAATCAATAGACACAATAGAATCACAGAGAAAACACTTCAAGTTTCCTTACTATTTTATACTACAGAAATCAGAAAGACGAATAGATTCTTCTCCTTGAAATGCTTAATATTCTCTCTGATAATAAACAAAACTTTTATAACTACACGGGTGATTTTCAGCATGTGATATCTGATAAATGTCAGTTCTTGGGGAAATGATGAAACGGTGTATAAAATAATAATTAAAAAACAAACAAAAAAACCCAGAGAAAAACAAAGAAAAAAACCGAGAAGAACAACAGAAGTTAGACAGTGAAGAAATGGCATTGAGGCAGACTTCAGGAAATATATTTTCTTTTCCAGTGTTACATTCCACGATATTTTTAAATCACAGATATTGAAAACAGATTCCCATACAATTTTTAATCAGTTACAGTAGCGACCAGGGTTAGTGGTTCCTAACATGTGGCAAAAAATATAATACTTCTAACTCAAGCCATGTCATGCTGGTATTTTAACAGCATTCCTCATGCTATTGTAACAATTCCATTAGCTTCATGGCATTTGATTCTTTCTGAATGTACGAAAAGAATATCTCCCTTTCTGATGTTTACAGCAAGCAGTATAATCATAATAACCATGGTACTTTTCATCCCAGTATCTCAAAATACTTTGATCCTTACCCCGATTTTGGAGATGGAGAAATTCTTAACTCAGAATCATGAGATGTCTCTCTGGAGTCAGCCACCAATAAGGTCACTGTAAGGCCTAGAATGGAAAAATCACCAAAAAGCAGCACTTCGCAAACTTTATAAAGCCCACCTGGTTTAACATATGGAAGACTAATAATTAGAATTATAAGTTGCCATCACCTCCCCATGATTTGCACCACAGTGGTGCTGCTCACATGCATCTCCGGGGCACCATTACTTCCTCACCCTGTAGCTGGGATCCCAACCCAGCAGACAGTGAGTACATAGCTCTATAATAACCTTAGAGGTGACAGCATCCCTGGGGGGATTCTGAAGAGGGGCAACTGTCCCCCACAGAGGTCAGGGAGAAGGATGCTCCCCCGGAAAGCTGATGCTGTGGTCCTTTCACTGTCACTGGAGATTGTGCCTCTGGAGAGAAGGGGCACAGCAATGCTAAATCTGATGTGGATGCTCCCACGCACAAGCCATGGCCCACCGTGTCTGATATGTGGAACATGCCAGTCCACAGCCCTGTGATTTGCATCAGATTCAGATATTAGGAATCCACATGCATTGGGGCAGCATGTTAACTCTTATAAAAAAATACTAAAAAAGATATTACTCATTTGTGAGACATTCATGGAACTTACTGTTTATACAAAACACGTTAAAATAAATCATATTAAAAAAACCTACACGATTTCATAAGTACCTTGCATCCAATATTTAATATTTTAAAATTCATTAAACACTTCATTTAACAATGGAGTAACCAGAACATTGAAATAAAAGCTAGAAAAAGAGACCCGAACTATTCATTAAATGGTAACAGAAAGAGATTCTGAAAGAGATCCTGAAAAGCTTGCTGCAAAGCTAAATCAATGTTTTTATCAGAAACCATTCCTAGTTAGCTATTACAAAACAAAGTATAGCTACATATAAAACTTCAAAACCAGAATTCCTGTCATTAACATAGAATATTTAAGAAGCTGCAAATTCCTTAAGAGGTGTCATTTACAAAACCGGATGGGTTTTCTGTTCTCCATTGACAGTGCTAAGAGTACCAAGTGGAAAATTACATACTTCCCCAAAAATTCAGTTTGGGGATGACTAAACATGATTATAAAAGAGGACAGGAAAGATGGTGATAGGTGAAAGACACAAAATCTGGAAAAGCTGTATAATAATATTTCAATATCAACATTCTACTTTTACATACACAAACAAAAAAAAGAAAACTAGCTGACTTGAGTTTTTAATTTAATTTGAAGTCAGCTTTCTTGGCTTTTTTCAACATTATCACTTTTCCTTACATTCCCTGAGGCTAGAGGTAGGAAAAAAACCCACCTGATCAACAGTAGGGAAAGGCTCATTCCAGGACACACAGGGTTGGTTATCTGTCTCCTGCATGAAATACAGCACAACAATGGCTAACAAAGTATTGCTCACTTATCTGATGTAAATGCTACAGGCAAGTTAGATATTTTAATACAACCTTCTTATTGACAGCAGTTATTAATGCAGCTTCAGATGCAAATTTGACTTTTCTTAAGCCAGAACAGGAGTTCCTGGAGAGCATGATATGTACCTGGATTGAAAGTTATCAGTTTTACTTATATTAAAAATATATTTGTAATTGAGATGTTAGATTTAATATTAAACTTTTTATTAAGATGATCTGCTATTTGCCAAACTTCACCACCATAGTCAAAAATACAATGACAAGAATTTGGTGGTTTTTTTTCATGTATTATCCAGGAAATTTACAGAAATGAAACTAACCCAAAACTAATGGTGCCCATTGCCCTTCCAAGCTCAGTGCATTTGTTTTCTTGCAAGGACGTCAGCAGTATATTTAGCACCAGGGTGAAAATAGAGGAGGTTAGACTAAAAGACTCATATTACATATTGCAGGTCTCATATTCCCACTCTTGTGACGCTCCTGGATTCATGGCCTGCTCATTTCATGGTTTCTTTTGAAGCATTTTGACAGACAATTTCTTGTCTGCCTAAAATTCAAAACCAGCTCTAGTAAGATATACTGGATGCACAGAGGAAGCCTTTCCCAGAAAATGATATTATTTTTGCAAAAGAAAGGGGCAGGAGGTTTTTTTGCTTATTTCTTTTGAAGTCCCAACAAGCAGATGAAGTAGCAAATGAAAGAGGAATTAACTGTATATACAATAAATGTGATTATCTCTGTTGCATATATTCAACTTAATTGAAATAAAGAGTCTGTGTGAGATCAGGTGAGGCTTTAGACACACACAGAGTTAAATATAGAGATGCTGTTGAGCTGCTAAAAGATGAGCTATTGCTGCTGACCACAGAAAGCAAATTACAATTAAGTACACATCTTTCTGGGAAGTTTGCCAAGGAAAAACCGGGCACAGGAGGCCATTACTGCTGGTTTGCCCATGCTAGGGAAAAATGGAGATCTAGTTGCTCTAACTCTTACCAACAGAGCAATTGCACTCAGAGTACAAAGCAAATCACTGCTAACAAGACAAATCGGGAAAGGAGCTCTGAGAAAGAGCTGAAAGTACAGAAGCAGAAATGCTTTAGCTCTGCCTGTGTTACTAACTTAGCACTGCAGCAACTGCACCACTGCTGGCTGTTGCTGTAGCATGGTGTTATTTTTTTGCACAAAACCGGTTTCAGGGACCCTAAACAGAAAAGCATAAACAAAAATTTCAGATGTGCAGTTCATTTACAGCAGAAGAAATCAGGAAGATTGAAGAAGAAATAAAATGTTTGAGCAGCCTTTTGCTTTTGATAAGAGGGTACCTAGAAGAACTGAAACCATGGAGGTAGAGTGACAACAGTAGAACACAATCAAGAACATTCATATAGAGCTGAATTTCCTCAGAAGGCAAAGGAAAGGGACAAGTGACAACTCTGGCCACAGCGTAGACCATAATGTGAAAAAGATGAAAAGCATCTCAGCCTACCGCTCCTTGTATTGGACTCAGTATTGAGATTTATTCTACTAGGGGCTGCAAATTGAGAGAACACTGAAGAACACTGGTAAAAGCTAATGGGAGCAAGAAGTCGGCATGTCCTACATTATTTCGCTATTTCTTTGTTTCCTTACAGAGGAACTGTCTGATCCAGCAAGAAACAGACTATTCTGACTTTCCATTCAGGTCAAGATAGCTTTACAGCTTTTCTACAGGTCTTTGCTGGTAATACATGGTTCTAACATTTCTATAATTGAGATTCAGACGAAACATGGCTGTCACTGCAGCCGGAGCATGGTCAGCAACGTTGACGTGTTCCTTCCATTTCAACTGTGGTGGCACCTAAGAAGAGGGGAATTCTTCAGCACCAATCTGTCACATATGCTGGCAAGCAACTTATCTCTGCAAATGCATTCCTGACTGGGTAGTTTTGTTCTGGGTCCAATATGAGCTCCAGTTCCCCTCTCTACCATCCCGGTTGTTATCAGATCTCTCTTCTGTAATTTCTCATTATCTTTTCAATAAAAGAAAAGTTACTATAAGTTAGACTCCCCTCTACACAATTCTTGAGTATATCTTTATGTCTGGATCAAAGAGCCTTTACTTTGTTATTTTTTTTCTGCATAAGAAATACCCCTTTTGGTGTGAAAAGAAAATATGAGGAGTTTCATCTTGCGTGATTTCCTGAGATCCTCAGTAAGCAAAGATCATTTGTATTACTGCCTCTCACCATGTCTCAGCCTTTCACAGGGCTGGGCATCCAGGCTATACCTAACTATGGCTAATCCCAAAAAACCTCCACAAGGAACGAAACAATACAGATTAAAAAGTCCAATTTCAAGTATCATATTTCTATATAAGTCCTCCTTTGTCATTTTTGCAGTGATGAGTTGGACCCATGGGTCCTTTCTTGAGAGATTTCCCTTTCCAGTTCCACCCTCTACCAGAACACTGGAGGCAGAACTTCACAGGGGTCTCTGGTGCAATGAAAGCAATGTTACAGGCATGCTACAGAAGCCAAACTCACTCATTCATTAGTCCAAAGTCCTCCTTTAATTCAAATACTGTTTCATAATGAAAAAAGTTTAGGACTCAGAATTTACTTAACAACATAAACTAATATTTCCATGTGGTTTCTATGAACTCTCAACCCAGGAACAACATTCAAGCGCTTAGTTGCACAAAAGGCAACATCACCAACCTCTCACTCTGGGTGACCTGTATTAACAGTGAGTCTCAAATCACCTGCAAAAACAATATCACAGTGAAAAAATAATCAGCCTTAACCTTAGTGCACATTTGTCTGTGTAGTATTATCACAGAGTTAAGAAATTTGAAACATCTCATAAATAAAGAAGGCATTAAAATCATTTTGAAGTACAGAAGGAAGTGAGAGTTTCACTACTCCTTGGCAGTAACATTTTCCATGAGTTCTTTCCCAGTCTGACCACGCACAAGGCTGCAGGACTGAAGCAGAGACTGATTAAAACATGCATGGGCACGTGCATGTGTCCAAGCTTATATGTACACACGTATTTCTAAGTATGTGCTAAGGAAAGAAAGGATGTAGGGAAGATTTTAAGAAAGCTTTTATGCAGGGCAAGCTTAAGGAAGTCAGGGACAACTGCTCTCAGTAAACTGATCTGAGATTAAGAAAAAAAGGAAATGGTCGCCTTTGATGAAGGAATTTAGAATAGGTACAGCTGCATAGTGCAGGAACAGGAACTTGATAATAAAAACATTCTGATGTGGCATTTACCCCAAAACATCAATGAGTAAAAATAAATACACATCCACAGAGCTTAGGCTATTCTGGTGCTGATAAAATCACTTTAGAGTATCCCAGCATCTGGGATGTGCTGGAAGTTAAGTTTCTAGTGATTATTTAGGGTTGCTATAACCAGTTACTGGACATTTGCGTCTTTTAAGTAGTCATATGTAACGTGAGTGGAAGGCAGCATCTGTGAGCAACAAAGTTCTGCATTAGGAACCAGTTATTTAAGGAAAATTAGTGCTCTGAGCCACACACATTCTTTGTTGGGTTCATCTCTTTTTCTTATTAAGATTGTTTGCATGGATTGCTACTGTCCTAAAGTCACACAAACTGAAGTCCTCT